ATAAATAATCTCCTGCTATTTTCCAGCGTTTATTGTTGACTTCAAAGCTGTTTCGTTGTCCAAGTCTTATGCCTATAAATGACTGAGTTTGTGTTCAGTTGTGCTCTAAATATATGAAGCATACAAATGAGCAGCATGTCTGTTTGTAGTGCTTAAATTGTAAATACTTTTCCCCAGACATGCAAACAAAAAAGAGTTTTGCATTTTCCAGCTGAGAATGTAAAAACACTTTGTACTGTTGTAGTAATCCACAAAATAGTCCATAATCCATAATAAAGCTTCCTCCAGTGAAAAACTGATCTGGTCTGAATCAGGAGAGAAATCTGCACAGATCAAGCACTGTTTATAAGCCAAAACAGCTCTAAACAAATATGTGGGTGGATTTTGATGTGAGAGAGAACAGGGCGGGAAGCATTATTTTGGATTATGGACTTGTATTTTGGCTGGAAATTATGGTTTGAAGTTAAAAACGTCTTACTGATGGAATTGTTTCTTACAAACATGCAGCTTTTCACTTAAAAAGATGATTCTGACGGCACCCATTCACTGCATTGCTGAGCAAGTGATGCAATGCTACATTTCTCCAAACTGATGAAGAAACAGATTTATCTACATCCTGGAGGGATTTAGGATGAGGACATTTTCAGCAATTTTTTATTTTTAGGTGAACTATTCGATAACATGGTTGCATATGTCACATGATATAAAAAAAAAAAAAAGTTTTTGGATCATGTGATTATATTTTTTTTGTTGCCTGTTTGGATTATTGTCATCTTTTTGGATGTTTTCCGGCGCAATGATTTTGTTTGTTTGTTTGTTTATCCATAGTTAGACTCTAATAATAAAGTGTATTCTATTTATTCTAAGCGGCTTTGATTCCTGTTGCTTTTAGGCAGTGGGAAACTGCGGCCCAGTCGAGTTCAGAGCGTCGTCTCCAGTCAGGGCAGCCTGGACTCAGACATGATGGGTGAGACTTTACTCAACACACAGCATGTTCAAACTCACATTTACATCACAATCATCATTGCTCATGGTCCTTGTCCTCTCTGCTGTGTGTGTTTCAGGTTATGATGGCGGCAGCAGTGATTCTGAGTGCGACGGACCCACTATGAATGAGCAGGAGAGACAGACGCCACTCATGCCTGATTTCTGGCTCATCGTCAGAATTCATCAGGACAGAGTGGAGGTTTTCTCTCACGCCAGGTACTGCTGCAGAGACACGCTCAGGTGACGAAATTCACATTCAGAAAGCACCAAATGCAAGCAAAAATCAGCAAGTTAACTGGCTGGTAGAAGGCTGGTTTGAAATGATCGTTTGACACTCTGTCTTATTTAAGTCATTTGCTAGACAAGCCGCACTATTATTATTATTACTCGTATTTGGTGTTTTCAACGTATTAAACATCAGTACAGTCTCATAGTTTGTTGACATGAATGTTTGTTGTTTGGTAAGGAGTGTGCTATTACTTTTCTTAAAAATCATTTTATAAAATTATAAAATGTATTGATTATTTGAAATAATTTTAATTAGTTAAATAATTAATTTTTCTAAATTATTATTATTATTATTACATTTTATTTTAGAAATAATCATTTTAAATACACACACATACACCTATATTGTGTTGTCAGGAGTTTAAACAGAGGGAAAGAGGAGGAAGAGGAGGAGATCCCAGAGTACCTGCATCTTCATCAGCTGGTGGTGAGGAGGATTGGAGAAATGTGCCGAACAGTCAACCAGGTAAAGAACAGCCTTTCACTATCAGCGTAAAGTCTGGTCAGAAACACCCACTATCTCAGAGTCGTCATCTCTGATCCTCTAGCACTGTTTTCCACTTTGTTACTCTTTGTTACTCTTTAACCTCCCGTGATTTTCTCCACAGCGCCTCCTGCTGCAGGACCTGCATGATAGTCGCGTGTGTCACTCTCTCCTGGTGGCTGAGAGCGAAGAGGACATCTGGAAGCACGAGTCGCTCTACCGGCCCAGGATGACCAACTCTGACGGTGCAGTACTTAATGCCACAGCCGAATGACTGACACACACTCTTTCTACACGCCAGAGCCGGGCTCGCAACCTCTTTGACAGGAAGTGCCGATTTGGAATGTTTTTGTATTAAAAAATAGCTACATTAGTCAGAAAATTGTCATAATTTTCCCAGATTTCTTCATCTATAAAAATCTTTTGTATGGGACCCAAATTTTCCAGCTCAGACTGCTCTGCTTTTCCGTTTTCTTTTAATTTCATCACACATTTAGAGTCTTTTATGCCAAAAGACTCCAAATGTGTGATGAAATTAAGAGAGATACTGCTCATAACTAAATAAAATGCCGAAGGTTTAGTGCAACAAATAGTTTGGCATGTTTGATTGTTTGAGCAAATAAATCAATGAAATGCAATGCAAATAAATGCATGAAATGCATGAAATATTAATCTCTTTTACTCTTACTGCTTCAGATCCATGCACATGCCTGAGTCATGGGAAAATTATTTAATTGCGTTATTATTATTATTATTTTATTATTATCTAATAAAATTGTGATCCACAATTTAAAAATATTACTTTCCTGTCTGTTAGGATGGTGATAAACACATCCAATCTTATTATTTTTAGTATTATTTATATACGATTATTTTATTTAGCTTTTATTTTTAGATTTTCAGTTTCAATTTTAAGTTTAATTTAACTTTCAGTAATTTTATGTGCTTTGGCATTTTATTTTATTTTTTTATAATTCTACTTGGCTTTAATTGATTTTTCAGTTTTAGTAAAACTGAAACTTAAGTTAGTTGCCAAGGCAACGTTCCTAATGTTGAAAGTTTAAATGCAATTTAAAAAAAGCAGATTGGCCAAAAACAATTGTGATTATGTGTCAGTATTACCATAAATACTTTATTATAGTAATAATAATAATTATTATTATTATTAAAAATATTAAACTGAATAATAAATATTGCTATTGCAATATTTTACTGCAAAATAAAAAAATCTAATATTTAAGAAAAGTTGTAGTAAAATAATGTATTTGACAGTACAACTATAAGATTACAATATTTATTTATTTATTGCCTTAAAAGCTTAATGGTTTAATGTTTTGAATTTTTTTAGCCGGTTATAAGCGTTTCTCATTACATATCTCAAAACTCGTTGACCCAAGACCCAAACTCTTGCAGCACATATTTTTACACTGCGAAAAAAAAAAAATCCAACTACAAGTATCTGAACATTCTTAATTCAAGACACAAGAAAAATGACAAGATATTAAGTTTTAAGTGAGTTTAAGATATTAAGATATTAAATTAAGTGAGTTTATGCTCAAAACAAGAAAAATATCTGCCAATTGGATAAAAAAAAAAATTCTGATCCCATTGGCTTTTTTTCTTGTTTTAAGCATAAACTTGCTTAATTTCAATGCAGAAAATAAGACTTAATGTCTTATGTTAACTAATTGTATTTTGATTTAAGAATGTTTAGATATTTGTTCTGGAAAACAAGACGAAAATACTAAGTAAGAAAGTAATTTTTGCAGTGTATTTAATTAAATTGCAGCATTTGTGATAATGGCACAAAGCCATATCTTGATTTCAGTTTTATTTTAATGAATTGTGTAGCCCCACACCACGCGTATGGCTTTGTGTAAATGAAAACTGCTGATATTGTTGCACTCTTGATATGCAGTACAGATTTAATAACGCCTGCTGCTGCTGTAAAATGCAGAACAATTTACGCTAATGCAAACAAACACAGACTCTCACACAGAAGCCCATCGGGAAGGTCAATTCAAGGGTGGTGATAATGAGACAGCAGTATGAGTCTGAGCACTCGCCTTATTGACTACAATTTTATATCCGCTGTTTAGCGTGAATTACTGCACTAATGTACTCATATGGCCTATCGCTCTGCCTCAGACTGTGCAAATTAATTGGATCCAGTCGACCACAGAGTTCAGTGCTCAGATGCTTAATTTGTATCGTACTACTTGAGGTGCTCTGTGGGTCTGTGGAGTTCAGCTAATCCTGCTAATCACCCTTTTGTTATGAAATTGTTAAGATGAAAGTCTCATCCCCATCATTGCACATTTTTCCCGGCTCAGACTACAATGCAGACGAGAGCTATCAGCCGCGGGACTACCTTGCCGCTACCATGCAGTTCATCCCGGGTTACTTCGCCTGTGACGTGGTCTGGAGCACCATCATTTATATTCACCCACGCCTCAAAATGGGGCCCAACATGGGCGTGTCCCGGGGTGAGTGACACCACAGCGGACCAATCAGGTGGTTCCTCATGGAAACATGTTTTTACCTTGAAAAACTGGGAAGCTTGTGTCCAAAGATGATTTGTTTTCTCTGGTTCTTTCAGCTATCCAGGCTCTGCGCTCCGTACTAAACGCTTTCTGTGTGGTAAACCGCAAAAACATGTTTGTTTATCAGGAGCGCACCACCAAATCTGTGTTCTACCTCCGGTGAGTCAGAACCTCTGCATTTTTTCATATTAGATATTGACCAATATGAGCTTTTCAGTGAATGATGCTGGTATCTGAAGAGTGGAGTAAACGAGAGTTTGTTGATCCAACACTAAGGTCGTGGGTTCGATTCCCAGGGAGTGCATGAACTGATGACGTGTTTAGCTTGAGTAGAAAGTAAACCGCTTTGGATAAAAAACATTTCCAAATGCAGTAATATAAATGTGAATGTTAAAGTATCAATTTACACTTCCGTTCAGAAGTTTGGGGTTGGTAACATTTTTGAAAGAAGTCTCTTCTGCTCACCAAGGCTGCATTTATTTGATCAAAAATACAGAAAAAAAATTTAAAATGTGAAATATTATTACAATTTCAAATAGCTGTTTTCTATGTGAATATATAGTCAAATGTAATTTATTTCTGTGATCAAAGCTGTATTTTCAGCATCATTACTCCAGTCTTCAGTGTCACATGATCTTCAGAAATCATTCTAATATGCTGATTTGCTGCTCAACAAACATTTCTGATTATAACCAATGCTGAAAACAGTTTTGCTGCTTCATATTTTTGTGGAAGTGTGATACATTTCGTATTTCAGGATTGTTGAAAAAGTTTAAATTGTGTAAAGTTTAAAAAGATTCCTAAATATGTTGAAAAAGTAACAAAATGCAGCACAACGACCAAAGACATCCATCTAACATATTTTAAATAGACCAACAATTAAAACATAGCAAAGAAGGAAAGCAAGAAAAAGTGTGCAAATGGCTGACAATTCTGCGTTTATCTTATTTTTGAGGATCAAATATTGATTAAATTAACTCATATCTACTCATTCTTTATTATTTTTGATATTTTGAACATTGTATATATATATATATATATATATATACAGTATATATATATGTATATTCATAGAATTTATTTGAAATAAAAATCTTTTGTAACATTATAAATGTCTTTACTGTCATTTCTGATCAGCTTAATGCTAAATAAAAGTATGAATTTATCTTTATTGGGTAGTGCATCTATGTTTATTTGTAGATTTATTACCTAATTCGTTGTTTTATCACCCGATCCTCATTGTTTTAAGCCTGATAAATCCAGCTCTGATTGCCAAATAAATTCTGTCATCATCTCATTTAAAAAGATCTTGTTCCCTTAATCATCCTGAATTTAATTAGATACTTTTAGCTCAGGTTATGAAGCTGCTATTTCAAAGGAACTAAATGTTAGTGACTGATATAATGCCTATACACAGGCACGTAATAATTTACAAGTATACACATTCACAAATATTTATTATTAGCATGCCCCAAAAAATGATTGCACAGTATTTACTTGTAGGTCATTCAGAAATAATTGAAAGCAGAACATGTGTTGATATATCTGTCTGCCACTATAATATCTCTTTAATTTCTCCATCTGTGGCATTCTCGCCATAATCTCCTAGTGCTGTAAGTGATTGCTAGAATGTATTTGAATTCTTTTCATGTTCTTGACCTCCTCGTCCCATCTGTCCGTCTCCACAGGCTCTCCGAGACGTCTCAGGCAGGGAAGTACAGTGATTTGGATGGAAACGTGCACGTGTCGCGCTCTGTCGGTCTGGCCCGCAGCCAGGAGCCGCTGGGCTCTGAGGACCTCACGGTAACATTCACATACTGTCACTTCTCATTACGCTTTAGGAAACCAGAGCCCTCAGGAGCCATTAGGGCTCAGATCGCCTTCCAGAGTGACTTGTCCTTGTGTTTACACCATTTATGAGCTTCATCCTGACGGGACGAGTTATAGAAATGGGAGATGTGAGCAATTATGTGTTTATAGCCTGAAAAGCAGGCGTAGAACGTGCTCCCTTGAGCCCTGATGTGATGTGTGTTATGTTGTATGTAAGTGTGTGATGACATGTATCATGTTCACAGGCATCACGCTCTTCTCTGGAAGGCTCAAGGCCGGTTGGACTGGTGGACAAACACATTCTGCTGCAGGTGCATGGCGTAGGGACCGCAGGTGAGAGAGAGGGATGGATAAATGTTTCTCACAGTAAAGTGACAAAACAAAAGATGAATGAAGTGTGTTGGTTTCTGTGAGGGATGTTACACCACTACACCAGCCACGCTTACTGAAAGCAAAACCAATGAACCATTAAGTTCAGACCAATTCTTGCGTTTGTAAACAGCTGGACGGAACGCAACTCAATGTAATAGAGCGTTTTTAAGTTAAAAAGATTTAAACTGTACAGGTTCTTGAATATGCATCACTTTATGGTGTGATTTGTTGAAAAAGCAGCAAGACGCAGCACCAAACATTTAGACCAACATTTAAAAAATAGCAGAATGGAAGCAAGATTATAAAACGGAGAGTTCCGGTAATGAAATGTTTTTTTTTCATAGATTTTTGCATTGATTTGTATCTGAATCAAACTGTCAGGACTCTCCAGCTTCACCTGCAGTACCATCAGCAGCTGACAGGAGGCGCTGTCGCTCTGCATTCATCAGGGCCATGAGTTATTTCTTTTCCTGTAAATGTATTACTTCAGTCCCAAAGTGTAGCCAGGGAAATCTTTTCCAGTTTCATCAGTTTGTTTTTAAGTGCATATTTATAATTTGTCGGGTCGTTTCTGGGTTTAGTGAGCAGCTCTGAGGGATTTCAGCACCTGCTCGGGAGACTTCAGTTATAAATCTAAAGTCAATATGAAACGGCTTCCAATCTGTGAACTATTGTACTTCCATTTTGTGACACATTTCCAAGTGAGATATGATGTTGTGTATTGGACAGGTCCAGAGATCACTGATGAACTGGTGAAGGTTTTGAGGAAGCGTCTGGACGAGGCCACGCTGGACATTATCACAGTCATGCTGGTCAGGAACTGCAAACTGACGCCTGCAGATGTGGAGGTGATTTCTCTCTCTTTTTCTCCTTTGACCATCTTTTGTCTATGACAGACTTGTTCTTCGCCGCAGGTTAAGTACAGATTAAGCAGATGAATTATATTTGCCCGCCCTATGCAGAGACAGACATTTGTGGGGAAAAAATGACAATAAAGTATCGTAAAATACAACTCATGTGCTGTATTTCAAGTCTTCTGAAGTTGTGTGATGTCTGACTTTGAAATGCTTTTTGCTTTGAATCAAAGCTTGTGATGCTGTGATTCATCTCAGAGCGAGTTGGTTTAGAAGTCTTTATTGAAGATTTTTTGAAATATTGCTGAAATACTTCCAGAACCAAAGCCGCTTAATGTGCGGTCACTGTTTTTCTCAGTTTGTGGGCGGTTGGCGGGTGTGTTGTTTGAGATTAATGATTGGATAATAGACTGTGGAGATGATTTTTGGTTATTACACTTAATTTTTTCCTCTTCGTCTCAGTTCATTCAGCCTCCCGGCTCTCTGGCGACGGAGGTGGTGGAGTTCTGTCTGCCGCAGTACTGTGTGCCGTGGATCCAGGCGGTGGCTCACTACCTCCGTCAGAACCTCCTCATCTTCCTCCACATCCCCAAATACACTGACAGCAACATGGAGCACCACTTTAAGGTACCGGCGTCTGATCCACTGAGACAGACATTCTCAGTGCATTTGGTTCATGGAGATGGTCACATGTTTAAATCAGAAAAGCAATGTTGTAGATTCATAATGTAAATCTATGCAAATTTCTAAAATTATTGATCCGTAAATGTTTTGCCTTTTTAAACGAAAATACAGTTCATACACTATACGTGTATATATATATATATATATATATATATATATATACACATATATTAGTGCTGTCAAACGATTAATCGTGATTAAGTGCATCCAAAATAAAAAGGTTTTGTTTACATAATATACGTATGGGTGTACTGTGTATATTTATACAGTGAATTTATAACAGCTAAGGAGCGTTGTTAGGCACGACGCGGAACGGACTTCTTGGGGCTTATTGCTTTAATGAGTCGTGTAAACGGATGACAATTCTGTCTTTTGTTTTAATTTTGGGCAGCAAATGTTGATTAAATCGGCCCATATCGACACATTCTTTATTATGACTATTTTGCACATTTTAGAATAACAGGAAAATTAGAGGACAGAGCAAAATGGAGCAGCCCTTAATCAGAAGAAGCCGAATGAAGAATAGGCATTTTAGAAATGCATGGAATTTATGAGAATTATGTAGTGACTAAAACATGTTTTATTTTTTGTATTTATTATATAATTTGTATCTATTTTTTGTATTTATTTATTTTTTTATCTATTTTTATTTATTTTTATTTTTGCAATTTTATATCAATTTATATATATTTAATTTGTATATAATTTTTAAGTCAATTTAATTTAAATATTGTAATATTTAATCAAAATTTTTAGATACACAAATACTGTACATATA